CCTCTTTATCAGGCTGAAAGTCTCAGCTAAGATTGCCCCTTGGGTTGGCGTTGGTGTGGCCATCATCTACGTGGTCCCATTGATGCACAAGACCCGTAGGCGTCAGGAGCGTAGTTGGAGCAGGTGACGGCAGACCAGTGTTGGCACCAAGAGCCGTGGTGCCTCCCTCAGCCACTGCAACATTCACTTCCACCTCCTCGTCCTCCACCTCCATATTCTTGACAGCTTCGCGTGCCATCTCTGCAAAGTCGATCCGACGCAGCACGATCGCGTACACGACCAGCTTGAGCACCTCCATGAGGCAGATCGAGTACCAGAGCGCTGCGAAGCCTCCCTCCAGCACGATGGCAAGCACATACGCAGCTGGCAGCTCCACGAGCCACGTCGCTAGCGTACTGGTCCACGCCGTGATATGCACTTGACCCATAGCCGACAGGATCGAGGCGAAAACCATCTCAGTAGCCTCCACCATGAAGGCCACAATGAAGACAGGCAGCACCGACGTGCACACGTTGAGCAAGTCGCCGTCGTTCGTGTACAATCGGAACACATCGGCGCGGAACAGAAGCGTGACCAATGCGAGCAGCGTCACCGTGACAACGGTGCATCCAAATCCAAGCATCCCTAACGTCTTGGCAGCCTTCGGTCGGTTAGCCCCCAGCAAATTGGACACGCGGATCTGTGTGCCGGACCCAAAACCCCAGAAAAGCGCCCACAGCAAGCGCCAGAAACCCGATACGATCGCGTTGGCAGCGATGATATCGGGCCCCAGCCAGGCTGCGATTAGAGACAGCGACGAGGACGCCACATTGGACACCAAGCTGTTGACTGCTGCAGGAGCAGAGTTGTTGTAGAACACAGTCATGCGCTCACGGGTGAACTCGCTAAAGTCCCAGCCACCCCACGCTTGCAGATGCATTTTCTTGTAAAGGACACAGTACCAAGTGAGAGCTGCAGGCTGGAACCACGAAGCCACCACCGTTGCCAGCGCAGACCCGTCGAATCCGAGCCCTGTCCAGCCCAAAGCACCGTAGATGAAAAAGTAGTTGGCTGCAACAGACACCACCATCGACAGTGTACCCACCACCGTCGTCGGCATCATCACCCCCATGGCCTGGAAGTACAGTCGCAAGCAGACGTACACGAGGTTCGGCCAGATTGAGAACATCAAGACACGCGAGAAGCGGATACCGAGACGCACAACCTCCTTGTCGTTTGTAGACGCACGCAGTCCGAACTCCACGAACCAGTAGTACAGCATCAACGCAGGAGTGCACAGCGTCACCAGAGTTAATCCCATTTGCAGCCAGATACCCGTCAGTTTGGCGTTGCCAGCTCCCCACGCTTGTCCACAGAGCGTCACAATGGCCGACATACTGGACCACACGGTCAGCAGCGGCACTGTAGTCCACACGGACGCCAAAGAGGCTGCAGCCAGTTCTGTCGTGCCCAGATGCCCCAAGAAGACGTAGTCGATAGAGTACAGCGCGATACGCGCGAATGTAGCGAGCGATACCTGCAGCGCGATGGAGGACAGACCCAGGAACTCCTTCTGGACATCCACCGCCGGCTCCTCGGAGCTGGAAGCCGCCGTAGTTGGCAGCAGCGGAGACTTCTCACTCAGTGCGTCGCGTGGCGCCATCTTCAGTCAAAGAATTTGTGCGACGACGGGCAAGAAAGGAGAATGATACGGTCTCACAGGGACCACCGGCAAGCTTCGTCACTCGAGCAGATCGCCAAGACGAATCCCTGATGACCAACATTGTTGACTGTCTGTGATGCCTGCAAAGGACGAAAATGGACGTTCATGTTTTGAACACTAAATTGTGTGTTGACACAATTGGATACCTAAATCATTTTTGAGAATGCCACCGCAGCACCTCGCTCAAAAAATCCTCGTCATCTTCCTGGACGGGGAGGGACCCACTGC